TAACAAGTATTTGGATGGTCATAATCCAGAGGGCAGAGTATCCTCAATAATGTACACTGTATGGTTAACAGCTTAAAAGACTCTATTGAATTCATTTAATAACATTGTTTCAATTTTCATCTTAATTATTTCAATGCCTTAAGCCACAAGCACAGGTCTTTCCTCCAGGTAATGTTCAGGAGATGTTCTGTACTGAATGGACCAAGTGAGGGCACAGGGAAAAGGAGGCATCTGCCAACCAAGAAAGGCCTCATAAAAAAAAACAAATCTGCCAACACCTTGATCTTAGACGTCTAGCCTCCAGAATACTGAGAAAATACATTTCTGTTGTTTCAGTCACTCATCCTGTGCGGTTTTGTTATGGCAGCCCTAGCCAACTAAGGCAGTCAGTAATGGAGGTCGTCTAATCCAAGCTATAGAAGTGGCCTTTAATTACACCTGGGGGCTCTGGCTCTATAAAGTGAGTAGAAAATTTGTCAAAAGGGCTGACCAGGCACGTGCAATTCAATCTCAGCCTTTCTGAAAAATTTTGATGACAGTGAGGTGATAGGTCAGAGTATGGACTCCAAGTAAATAAATCATTATTTCAATTATTTGTCAGAGTATAATAGGAAAGCTTACTGAAAAGTTATGTCGATCCCACACACAACATAAATAGAAGTTATGTGATGTGAAATATCCCTGAACCAAGGGTCGGCTGTTTCTATTGCCTCCAAACTTTAGGAGAGCAGGATTGATCACGTGTAACTTTTCAGATCTGTAAGGAATATAGCAGATGAGACATGTGGGAATGTTGCAGTTTGAACATGGTAACTTTGGAAGCTTAGAAAAATATTTAAAATACTTCAAAAATCGATGCATATATAATTTAGAAAATAGTAAGCAATATTAAGAAATCTTTGTTAGTATGACATAATAGTGAGGATTTTAGAGTTGTAATGAACTTTCAGTTACACAAAGGAGAATTAACAACAATATTTACCAATATTCTCTTCAAAGTGCTCTTCAAACACTAAATAAATTACCCAATTAAGCCACTGCAAGATAAGCTGTTATTACTCTGGATTTAATGAAAAGGACTAATAATTACTATTTTAACAGTTTCTGTGAAGAAGGACTCAATGTTTACTAACAACTATGAGAACACCCCACCTCCCTAGTGAGTAGGGGACAGAAAAAACAAAAGGTTTATCAACTTAGTGTATTCAAGGGGAAGATAAATGATTAAGAACTAGGAACTATGACCTGTGAAAACAGACTTAATATGCAAAGCAGAGATCAAAATAGGCAGAAGGCTAGTTATAACTACTGCCAATATTCAGTGTTAAAGACTGTCAAAGGAGAATCTTTGGTCATCTCCTGAACAACGTAATTCATCACACCAGTGCTTGGAGTGGTCATGTCCAAGCAATTGATCATCATCATATCACTCATCTGAGTAAAAGAGGGGAGAACTTTGATTGTTAACCTCTAAGGAGTGTGGATTTATAGCCAACATCCTGAAGAATGCAGCAGGGCTCTGCCCAAAGCAGAATATTCCCTGTTTCACTTTGGCTTAAGTCAGAGTAAAAGAGTGGAACACACTGCTTGCAGAACATCGAGAGCAAAAACTTAGGTCTGACACGCTGAGCTTTGAAATAAGATAGCCAGGAAATTATATTTAAAATAGCCTTGAAGCAACTTTAAAAAAATTAGTAAATTCTAAGTATGGGTGATTCAGTTGCAAATGTCCTTGGGTGACAAAACAATTTCTGAAAAGTATCCACTGATAATGCCATTTGGGAAGACCTGTTTCCTAACAATGAGTCCATGAACATTCCTCTAATGTTGGAAAAGTTGGAAATACATTAAAAATTTAATATATATAATGTTTTTCAACATGAGAGCTTTAATTTCTATACCTTTGGGCATTGAATCATTATGCTTTTACATTTTAACACTGGCTCCCATACAGAACACATTCTAATTAAACATCTTGATGCCATTTTGCCACCTTTGATTAAAATCATGAAACTGAGTTGAGCATTATGAAATCAAGTGAGCCTGTGATCTCACCAGCAATAAGAGAAGTGTTAGTCATAATATCAAACCTCCTACACCATCTTCCCTTAGGCTTCCAAGGTGTCTGGCAAACTGGAAACCAGTAATCCCTTAATACATGTGTCTTGGGTTGTACCTGAGTTTATTAGTCAGGATATAATTTTACTAGGAAAAGAAACAAATCCCCAAATCTCATGGTCTAAACACAGCAAAAGGTTATTTTTCATGGGAGAAATGATTTAGTAAGTAATGATTTAACAAAATATATAGAGTATTAGTGGCAGTAAGTAGTGTGGAGGAAAGCTAAAGTTGAGTATAGGATGGAGAATGCCAGGGTGATGGAGGGGTGTTAGAATGTTGTTTTAAATAGGGTTGCCAGGAAGAACTCACTGATAAAGTGACATCTAACAACTCCATGTTCTCTGTCTGCTCTGCCACTTCCCTTGCCTAGGACACCATGGCCTTTTGTTTGGGCTTCCTGGTAGTCACCTTTATGGCATTCTCCTGCATATAGTCCTTCATTGGCTTCCCACTGCAGTTAGATGAAATCTAGAGCCTTACCAGATTGCACAATGGTTGGCATGACTTGATCCCACCCTGTGTCTCCAACTTCACCTAGAACCCAAATTCCAGCCACAAACCCCTGGAAATCTCTAGAACATGTCAAGATCTTTCATAACTCTGATGACCTTGCAAGTCCAAGTGCAGAGAATAAACATTGCTAGGACTTTCTCAAACTTCTAAATCAGACCATATCCCCTTGCAACACTTTCCATTTTTCTTTATCATAGCCCCCCTATTAATAATTTGTAGCTTTCTATTTGCTGGTTGCTTTCTTCTTTGTTTCCTCAGATCCATCTACTTCCAACCAGAAGATAAACTCATTTATTCTATTGTAGCTCCAGTGCCTGACCAGGCACACATATTTATTGAATGAGTAAGTTAACCCACCCTTCCTGACCATCTTGTAATTTCAACACAATATGTGATTAAAAAATGTTAAATAATAAGAACAGAATCTTGCATTCATAACCTATAAATGTTTAGCTCTATTAGACACCTTGAGATCAATTACTTTTATGTGCCTGGAAATGATAACTTGTTCCGTGGTGGAACTGGGACCAGAACCAGAATTAGGCTCTATCATGTGTCCAGAGGTTTTTAAACCACCAAGCAGTCTTGCTAAATATCACAGTATGTTAGTCCCTTTTGGATAAGGGGCACACTTGTGAAAAAGAGTATAGATCAGGGGCCTCCCCGGTGGCACAGCGGGTTGAGCACAGCGCTGTGAAGCTGTCCACAGCCTCTGCAGCACGGGCTTGATTCCCGGCCAACCAGAGAGATTCCCACATGGCACAGCGGACACCCCTCAGCAGTGTTTTCAGTCCATCTGCCTGTTCTGCTCCCACCTCTGTCTCTGGTGAATCCTCTCACCCTCCCATGCCTCTGACCTGTATCCCAGTTCTTGTATACAAATAAATAAATCTTTTTAAAAAAGAGTATAGATCAGGTAAGTATGGGGTAAGAGCATATGTTTTAGAGTACAAAAGACAGATTGTTTTTCCTTAAACTTTCCGGGAGTGTGACCTCACCCTTCTGTGCCTTAACTTTCTCCTCTGTAACATGAGAATACCTCATAGGGTTATGGAGAGATTAAATTCAGAAAAGAGTTCAGAAAAGATTTCTGGTGATTAATTTTTACTAATTCTTAAAATATGTAGACTTGGCCATTTCTAAGATCAAGGAATGGAAATCAAATGTATTTTACTATTTTATCCCAGAACTCTGCATTACACATGTTTTAGTAACTTTTGTAACAATAAAGCAACATCCACCCTGCACAAATGAACACATACTTTGATAAAGCAGCTAAAATCAAGTTGATAGTTTACTATCAATAGTAAGTTATTTGATCTCCTTTTCTTGCAGCATACTCTGAGATTTATTTTTGAAGGTGTTGGATATTTCTGGAATTACATCAGGTCTTTAGGATGAGTGCAGTACACCCCCACTGTCCATGTAAAATAAAATGTAACTTGCTGAATAGGTGTCCTAAGTCTTAGGACTGTTAACGGTGTTCATTCTATAATATATGGCAATGGAGGTAATGATCCTTTAGAAGTAAATGCTTGTCAGTTTCCTTAACTGTACAGGTGATTTAAGAACGAATAGACTTGTGTTTCCACAGAGGGTGGATGGAAATTCTCACTGTAAACTTGCCGCCTCTGGAAGGTCTCACTACACCTAAGGCCCCTTTACAAACAGCACAACATAGCGGACGTAAACACCAAGCACCGAAGTTTGCTTGAAAACCAAGAGAGTAAAATAAAGGGAAGGCTGAGGCCCAAAGCTTAGAGGTATGATTTCAACACTCATCAGACAATAAGCACAGGAAAAGAAGCCCCCAACCGCTGGACAACGACCTAGGGGCATTTCTGTCTAGCAACCCTGAGCTCAGACCTTGCACTGCGCTGGTGTCTCGGCCACGGGTTTCAAGTCAGGCTTCCCTGTGGCTGTGAAGCTGTCCACAGCCTCTGCAGCGCGGGTTCGATCCCCGGCCAGGGAGATACCCACATGGCGCAGCAGACCCCTCCTGCCTTGCCCACTGCTCCCCTCAGCAGTGTATTTCAGTGGATCTGCTGGTCTACTCCCCGCTCTGTCTCTGGTGGATCCTCTCACCCCCCGCATCTCTGGCCTGTACCCCAGCTCTTGTGTAAAAATAAATCAATCTTAAAAACAAAACAAAACTTCGGGGGCAAGCAGCCACCTCTAGGCCTCATGCAGTCTGACAATCCCAATCGTTGCACATTCCCTGGAGCATTTGGGGGAAGCCACAGGCTGGCTGTTTGAAGCCTCTCCCCCGGGACGGCCCTCCCCGGGGCTCCCTAAGGAGATTAGCGCTCAGTGCTGGATCGTGACCCTCGCCGAGCGGCTTCCAGCGTGGGCCCCCACATTCCTACCAGGCCCACAGCTCGTCTCCGCCGCGCCTTCCCTGCGATCGCCGAGCGCCGCCTGTCCCCGACCCCCGGGCAAACTCCTGGCCCTTTAAGGCTCCTTCACTGCCCTCCCACCGCGCCGTCCAGTCCAGCGCCTCCACGCCCCCGCTCCCCGAGAGGCTTTCGCGCGCCCCAGCCACGCCCAACCCCGACCTAAAGCCTAGTTCTGTGCACCCCGCCCGCCGCACAGCGGCTCCAGACCACCCGCGCCCCTCCCGCCCCGGGCCACGCCCCTCCCGCCCCGGGCCACGCCCCTCCCGTCCCGCGTCGGGCCACGCCCCTCCTGTCCCGGGCTCCGCCCATGAGCTGACACCGAGGCCCACTGGCACCTGCCCGCCCCACCTTCAACCTAAGAAATGCTCTGCCCTGTCAGCTTCCAGGCCAAGTCTAGGCTCCAGTCCCGCAGAGTTCTAAGAACCCCTAAGGCACCGCTGACTAGCTGGGAATCCCAGTGGCTGGGCTGGCATCCCTCTTCTGCTCAAGTCTGTTGTGGATCCCCCCCCCAACCCCCGCCCAAATATCCTGGAATGAGAGCTTTCCCCATCTCGCTCTAGTTCGACTGAATCAAAAGGATTAGTGACTAGATTCCTAAGGGGAGGGGAAGCAGCTACAGTTTCCACAAGCCCCAGTACTCCATAGAAATGCCTGGAGGCTTCGGTCAGTCTTAGTTTTCTACAAGGATAACAAGTTAGAGGGGGAGCACTGGCAATTCGGTGTCCCAGGCAGGTTTTGGATCGACATTCTGAATACAGAGAATTTATAGTTTATTTCTCCATTATGGGGCTGAGAATGAAATGGATAAAATGAATATGTGTGAGTCTGTCTACCAAACAGCGCTGGAGCAGTGGCCACAATATAGAATGAACTTTAAAGTGTTACACTCTATTCAATGAATTTTATCCTGAATTCTGAGAAAATGAGGATGAGTACTCAAATGGTATCTCTCATTTGAAAAGAAGGTAGACATTCGATGATGGTGATGATGATGATGGTAGAAGATGATGATTTCTGAAGCCATCTCTAACAGACTTCTTAAATGTTACTCTGTATGTGCTATCTTGCTTAGTTTTTAGAACAACCTGCATATGGTAGGATTGATCTTCTGGTCAAGTAGAGACAAAAAGACTCCCAAACACCCACCAAAAACCAGCTTAGAGAAGTTTCTTTTGCAAAACCAGGATTAGAACCCACTTTCGTTGATGCCACTAGATCATGCCTTTGGAATAGAGAATTGGGCACTTTGATAAGAGGCTAGGAGATTAATATATTTATCTTTAAAAAAAGAGAAGAAGATATGAAGACTTTTTTGTTGTCCTTCAAGGAGGGTAATTTATGAGAAGTTACTGAGAAGTGAGCCAGCAAGGGATAGGCAGGGAGAAAATAGAAAGGGACAGCCTTAATATTTGATATTGAGCATAGTGGCTGCTAAATTCTAGGAACAAGGAAGAGACTAAAAATAGGGCTGAAGGGTGGGAGAGACAGGAATAAATGTGGAGGTTAAGAACTCCGGAGAGATGAGTACTGAGTGCATTGACTATTACTAGGAACAACGGGGCACATACTGAGATTGTATAATGAATAGATGGCTGGAGGAAGGCTTCTAGAGTGATTTCAGGGCTGGCTACCACTTTAATTGCGTGTGCTGCAACCATGAAGCTGTATAAATGTGTATCTAACAATGGTTGTTAAGGATAGGCCTAAGAGTCCATTATTTATAATGTTATGTATTTTACAAGTCCATGCTGCCAGACATGAAATTATACAAAGAATCGTCTTAAAAAATAACTTCAGGGTTTTTTTTTTTTTTTTATGGATGTTACTAAATTCTCCACTGCCCACATTACACCCATTGTGTGAGATTTGTGATGGATTTCACATGTGAGCTCTTATTCTATGGCTTTACTTCTTTAAAAGACAGAGTTAAAGAGCAACTAGTCTAGATTTTATTTCTCTTTATATTCTCTTTATATTCTCTTCTACAGAAGTAGCTTTAAAGAAATTTCGATTAATATGTAGAAGTTTAATTTCAGGAACATTGTCAAAATATTGTGGACATGTGTATTCAAACAAGGGGAGAGAAATTCATGCAAATTCGAAGAACAACAGTGAAAATCTTTTGTAGCATATAGCATTTGAGTATATACTGCAATTCTTACATCATACATGATTTAAGCCTTGCTGTTAGTGAAGCATCAAATGCTTTTCTATTTTAAACAATTAAAATAATTAAAAAATTAGACATTCTTCAGCATGCCCCCCAAATCTACTAGCCCTGAATCAAGGCAGGCAAGAATGTATGGAAGGGGTCTTTCATGATATTCTACTGTCAGAATGATAATCTGGTATCAATCCTTGTGCCCATCTTCATTTTTCAGCCTCCCCCCTCCCCTCAAGAAGCTTGGAGATATTTTCTGAAACCTAGAATATTAATGTACCATCACATGCATGATGAAATAGCCAAGTTAAAAATCACATTATTGGGGAAACTAGGTTTCAAAATCAATCTCTCAGTTAAGGGGTTAGTTCAAATGCCCTCTTATTTCCATGGTACTTGCTTTTCATTTTTGTAGTGTCTTTGAATTTTGACAGTACCTGTATTCAGAAACATTAAATTGGCAGAAAGAATAAAATCAAAAGCAAACATCCAAAACCCCTTGCTGTTTGGGTTAAACTTCTGGAAAGCACTCAGGTTTTCATCATTCTAGTGAGTTGTTTTAAATATTTACACAAAAATAATCCATAGAACAAATCTGGACAGGACAAAACAAAGTAATTCAGATAATAATCAGATGAGAAAAAATAAGTAGCACTGATGATATAATTTCATAAAAGGTGTTGTTATTGAATTTAATTGCTGCTTAGATATTAAATTTTATAGTGTCGGGGAGATTTTCCTTATTTAAAATTTAGTCATGGGGTAATAAACTGACCCCACTATTTTTAAGAAGTCTATTAGATACCAGTGACACAAGAGAGTTCAGACTTTAAATACATATTTTTCTATCAATTTCCTATTTTATTCCTCTCAGAGAACTACTCAACATATCTTATTACTTCACTTAAGTGGCAAAGGAAAAAGGGGCAAAGGAAAAAGGAAATGAAAACTATTTCACTTCTTAAATGGCTAAACTGAAAACACATAATCCCCCAATTCAGGGATCATTTTAATGGGGTCTGTAACTTTACTAGTGAGTCATTATAACATTTTGTAGAAGCCAATTACAAAATTGTCTTTAACACTATTCTGATTTTATAGCTACCATGAGTACAGTACAGCAGTTCCTCAAAATATTAAACAGAATTAACAAGCGATACAGCAAATTCACTTCTTGGCTTATATCCAAAAGAAGCAAAGGCAGGTATTCAAGCAGATATTTGTACACCTATGTTCATAGCATTATGTAAAATAGCCAAAAGGTGGAAACAAACTATATATCCACCCACATATGAATGGGATAAACATACAATGGAATATTATTCAACCTTAAAAAGGAAGAAAGCTCTCATAATGCTACAATTCGTATGAATCTTGGAGACATTATGCTACATGAGATAAGGCAGACACAAAAGAACAAATTATAAGATTTCATTTATGTGAGATACACATAGTCATTTCATAGAAACAGAAAGTTGAATAGTTTTTGTCATCCTACTAAGGAGGAAGGGCTTGAGAGAGAATGGGGAACTATAATTTCATGGGCACAAAGTTTCACTGGGTGGTGAAAAGTTATGCAGATGGGTAGTGGTGATGTTATAGGACAGGGAGAGGGGCACCCCAGACCCCCACAAACCTGCCTATTCTAAATGGGTTCTGCCATCCGCCGCATCAACACAAAACATAGGAGACTTTAATGGGAAGGAACTTTAATTAAACTAGGAAACAATACAGGTAAGGCAAAGAGTCTAGTTTCTAAATGAAGCACCCAAAGTTACCCATCCCCTCGTGGGTAAAAGTCCATCCATATGGGATCGGCCCAGAACAAGGCCCCAAAGTCTACCACAAGTCTAAAACATCTTCCAGTGGGGACCCACAGAAAAGGGTCACAAACAACTGGACAAGCCCGGAAGGAAAAGAGCAAAATCAACATCAAGATAAAAGCTGCCATTGTCACCTCCACACAGGTCTCACCCACATCTGTGTCACCCAGTCCACGACCAAAAGACAAGCGCAGTTTCTTTACGTGTTTCTAGGCTCCATGCGTCTCCTCCAGGTCTCCTGGCTCCATCCTGCTTCCTTCCTCAGTCTCTTCTTCTGCTTCTCCTCTTCCTGCTCAGCTCCACCCTCCCTTGGGTGGGGCAGGGAACCTCCCCCTTTCCTGGGGACCACCCTGTTACAATCCCCCCTTTTAATTTTTATTCCACCATATCTATGGTGGCACAATCTCAGGGTGTAGTCTTAGGAGACAGTCTTTTTTAGGGTTACAATGTGTGTAAGAGAAGCAACAATTAGTCAGCAGCATTGTCTATGAATGTCCAGTATGACAGTTTCATTACTTAAAAATAGTCCATTATCCAAGCCAAAAGAAAAAAATTTGGAGCATTGGCTAAAACAAGACAGCAAATATATCAAAATCACAGTTAAAAAATGTTAAAATGGTTCAACTGATGTAAAACACAAATTTTCTCAACCTTGATCCCAAACTTTTAACAGCATAGCAAAAGTTTGCAAACTAAATTTACTTTTAAACCATTTTTCTATTTTTGCATAAAATCACAGAGTAGAAATAACTAACAGCAATTTTAGCTGGCTTTGTTGAAATATTCCATACAGGATCAGAGCGAACCGGCGGCATCCAGTCAATGTAGGCTTCAGGTATAAAGTTGGTCTCATCAGACTCCACCTGGGCTTTCCTCTTCTCGAGGGTACCAGGGCATTTTCGTTGGCCGGGTTGTCCAGTCCTGCCAATGGAGGCAAGCTTCCTCACCTTCTTTGGAGGTCTCTGGAACCCTACAAACAAGGCAAACAGGTTCTCCTCTTCTTGGTTCAGCTCTTTTTCAACTTTTTGGAAGAACTCCACACAAAGCCACACAAT